AAACAGCAAAGATAAGTTTTTCAAAAATGAAAACAAAAAGAAAAGTAAAACTAACGGTGACGGTGCTTGCATGTTTTTCCCCCACACGAATAACAGCATGTTCACCTTCTCTGGTTTAAGAAGCGGTCTTTTACTTGACTTTCGCTTGAAAACCATCCATCGTTTCCTCAATATGCGCGTTTTTGATTTTTGCTGCGCGCACCTTCGCGCTCGTGCTGACGTGGCGAGTATACTCTCTAAGCGCTGTTTCGTTATGCTTTCAGTTTCGTTTGCCGTTTGATGTTTCTCATATGCAACAGAAATCGCAAAAACTGTCTGCATTCATGCCAGGATTTAAAGTGTTCTTTGCTAGCTAGGCAAGAAAAGAAGCAGGCAGGGATGTGAAGAGCAGCATATGAGAGGAATGACAAAGCAATACAGATTACAGCCTGGCACAGACAGATACTGCGGATACTGACTCCCTTTGTCAAGAGGAAGAGCGAGTGAAAGTAGAGGAAAAAGATAAGTGAAAGGGCCATGGCCTAGCTGTGGCCTACAGTGGCTACCCCTAAAAATATACATTTGCAAACTAGCAATGCTCAAACTTTTTAGTGGAAGTATGACGTTAGTTCCCCTTTACATACAAACCATGAAGTTCAGGTACAATATAAGCTCTTTCTGTTTACCAGATTTCTGAGATCTATGTGAGCGGTGAGTCAGGTGACCTCACGGCGAAAGAGAAGCTGCTAATATGGAGTCAACAGGCAACAGAGGGCTACCCCGGTCTCCGTTGTGCCAATTTCTCCTCCAACTGGAGCGATGGACGCTTGTTCAACGCTCTTCTGCACAGATACAGGTTCACACATTAAAGCATAATGAATGCTCAGTTTAAAAGGATAGACGGACATTAGGGCATCTAACCCTCATGATCTCGTGGCATTGTGATTTTTAGGCCGGACCTGATTGACATGGAAGTGGTTGCGCAACAGAGTAACCGTGAGAACCTGGAACAGGCCTTTGAGATTGCGGAGTCATTAGGTGTAACGCAACTTCTAGATGCTGAAGGTAACATTGGTGTCGTATCTGTCTTTAGTTTTCATCCATTCTACATATAGGAAGTATTATGTGCTAAACTCCATTGGTCTTAGATCATCATTCACTTTTTATTCTCTCTCTACATCAGATGTTGATGTGCCGTCGCCAGATGAGAAATCTGTCATCACGTACGTCTCCTCCATCTACGATGCTTTCCCCAAGATCCCAGAGGGTGGAGAAGGCATTGCAGCTCATGTATGTTCACTTCACAGTGCACTCACTCTCTTCAAGCCGTACCTTCTTTCTCTAATGTACTTAATGTAATTTGTCTTTCATTCTCGTTCCTTGTTTTCTCTCATATGGTTTCTGTTGTTCAGGAGGTTGACCAGCGATGGACAGAGTACCAGTCTGGCTTCTCTTCTCTGCTGCAGTGGACCAGGCAACACACGGCCCTCATGGCCAACAGGAGCTTCCCCCACAATCCTGTGGAACTCAAGGTAAGAAACGTGAGGGAAGGAGAAGCTGAGAGAAGAGAACTGGATTTCATGAAGAAGGGAAGGGTTTAAGTTTGGGTCAACAATAAATTCCTGTTTTTATTTGGCAAGAACACATTCAGATCAAAGATGCCATTCATAATGTTACAAGAGATTGTTCTTTCTATTCATCAAAGAATTCTGAAAAAAAAAATATGTAGCATGGTTTCTGCATAAATATTAAGCAGTGCAAATGTTTTCAACATTGCTAATAATAAGAAATGTTTCTTAAGCACTAAATATGCATATTAGAATGATTTCTGAAGGATCATGTCACACTTAAGACTGGAGTGATAATGCTGAAAATTCAGCTTTGCCATCACCGGTATAAATTACATTTTAAAATATATAAAAATAGAAAACGGTTATTTCAAACTGTAATAATATTTAACAATATGACTGTTTTTACTATATTTTTGATCAAATAAATACAGCTTTGGTGAATGTTTTGGAACAATCTGCATCCATATGCCACAAATAGGAACTCACAATTTTGATTTCAATAGAGTTTGATGTTAGCATGTTGCTAAGCTAACAGAACAATATATTCTTATAAACAAAATTCACAGCACACACAAATATTGGGTAAAATAATCCAATACTTTTCAGTATTGAATAAAATGTTTATTTAAAATACGTCATTATTTATTGCTATGCATTCTAGGATTGCTTTCTTTGTGAAGGTGCTAAAAAGAGGTCTCTTACAAGGCAGCATATTCACTCAAACAGCCATTGTGTCTGGAACAAACCTGTGATGCCTTAAATTGCTAATTACCATTTGATGTGTCCTTTATTTGGCTGTTTACCAAAAGTGTTGTCTTCCCCAGGCACTTTACAATGAATATGTCCACTTCAAAGAAACCGATATCCCTGCGAAGGAGAGAGAGAAGAGCCACATCGAGCACCTTTACAAGCTTCTGGAGGTGAGATAGACTTTTACGAAGATAAAAAGAGAATGACAGAGAGAGATTGAGGCTGACCTTGATTCTGCAGCTAAATGCAGGCGACACTGTTCACAAGAGGCACACAGCTGCACATGAACAGATTCAGGCTAATGTAGAGCGCAACGCTGCCATGTGGGAGAGGTGGAAGATTGACAGTATAAAGGGAACACACATGCACACACTCAAAAACACTAGGAAAGCATCTTTTCATGTTAAAATGATTGATGTTTGTGGATGTTGTTTAGGCGTGGATAGAGTTCGGGCGCATTAAGCTGCCTCAAGGGCTACACCCTAATGATCTGGAGGAGGAATGGGGAAAACTGATCCTGGAGATGTTGGAGAGAGAGAAAGCACTGAGGCCTGCTGTGGAGAGGTTAGTGAGTCCACGTCTAGAAGACATGATTGCTGCATTTAGAATTGTAGCTGTTTGAAAGGATTTTTTAATGTGTCATTTGTACGTAACTTTGTTCTTAGGTTGGAGCTACTCCTACAGAAGGCCAATAAGATCCAGAACATGGCACTAGATTGTGAGGAGAAACTCACGCTGGCGAAGAACACTTTGCAGGCTGTAAGTATGGGAGTAGAGTTTGATGTTAACTGCTAGGCTAGATAGCACACAAACACTGAGTAGAATAATCAGTTTTAATTAGAATTAAATATTTTGATTTCTATATTTCAGTATTTGAAATAAACAGAAATAGATTAGTACTACTGTGAAGGATAAAGGCAGTGCTGCCTTAGAATAATCCCTAAAGAAGTTTTGGGTAACACTTTAGTGTAGGGACCAATTCTCACTATTAACTAGTTGCTTATTAGCGTGCCTATTATTAACATATTGACTGTTTATTAGTGCTTATAAAGCACATATTCTACAACCCTAATCCTACCCAATACTTAAACTTAACAACTATTTTACTATCTATTAATAAGCAGCAAATTAGGAGTTCATTGAGGCAAAAGTCGTAGTTAATGGTTTGTTAATGGCGAGAATTGGACCTTAAAATAAAGTGTGACCTTGCTTGGATATTTATCATTCAGAAATGTTTTGTGCTTCATTGTCTTCTGTCTTTCCTCAGGACATGTCTCAGCTAGAGAATGGGCAGCCGGTACGGTGTGAGAATGAATTGGGGATGTATCTGCAGGACTGTGAGGCTTTAGTCAGACAGCTTCATCTTGACCTGCAGGTCCTCAGAGATGAGAAGTACTATCAAGTGGAGCAGCTGGCTTTCAGGTAAGAGGGAGAAAAAATGTGTGCGAAAAGCAGGCCACAGAGCGGAATTAGAGGCAAGAAGGGCTATGATTTTATTCTTGCTGACAGTTATTTAAAATTGATTATTCCCAGTTATTTGTATGACAATTAATTGTCAGCCAAAAGATTTTTGTTCATATTGTTGCCATTCTTTTTGAGAATGTCCATTACCATTTAAAATTTTGGGGTCTGTAAGATTTTTTATACAGTCGAACCAAAATGTATTTAGACACCTTCAACGTTTCTCACATTATCACAGTTTATTCGCTATGGTTTAGAAAATTGTTATAAAATATGACACGAACTCAGAGTTAAACTGTTTCAGAACAAATTCATCTTGATAATGTCAGATAACTTTGATAGAAAGGTATGTAATGAATTAGGTTGAATAGCTGTCAGCTGTTAAATTTAAGTACACAATTAGATAATGACAATTTAGGTCAACCACTTACCAAGCAATGCTTAATTTTGTTCAGTCTGAGGTGTAAAAAGATTGCATTAGCAATTAAAGAAAAAACACTTAAGCAAAACAATGGTTCGGTCAAAGTGTCTGAATAATTTTTGGTCCCAAATTTTTTATCAATTTTACTGGTAGTCCATTTCACCGTAAATCCCTTCAAAGGGATGAAAAAAGGTCCGTAAACGCGTCGCGATCCGTTCCCCAGCGCGTCAGTGTTGACGGGCGCGCGCTGCTTCCTGTTCGCGTGCATGCAGGCGCGTTCGCGTGTCGAGGCGGGGACGCGCGCCTGGCCTCAGCATCAGCAGTAAAGGACATGAATGATGCAGGCGAGCATCTCTTGGTGCCAATGAACGGCTGCTTTGCTCTTCTGGCCTGTGTCCAGTTTCAAACAGACTCACAGGATGAATGGGAGCTATTAAATTTATTTCTGGGGGGTTTATCCTACCCAGGCAAACCTAAATTTATTCAGAGACACCTTCAACATTTCTCACATTATCACAGTTTATTCGCTATGGTTTAGAAAATTGTTATAAAATATGACACGAACTCAGAGTTAAACTGTTTCAGAACAAATTCATCTTGATAATGTCAGATAACTTTGATAGAAAGGTATGTAATGAATTAGGTTGAATAGCTGTCAGCTGTTAAATTTAAGTACACAATTAGATAATGCCAATTTAGGTCAACCACTTACCAAGCAATGCTTAATTTTGTTCAGTCTGAGGTGTAAAAAGGTTGCATTAGCAATTAAAGAAAAAACACGTAAGCAAAACAATGGTTCGGTCAAAGTGTCTGAATAATTTTTGGTCCCAAATTTTTTATCAATTTTACTGGTAGTCCACTGTATGAAGAGTCTTTTGGTATAATATGTCACAGTTCACTTTATTTTGCTATCCTCACTTACATAAATGAACTATAGTGTCCTGCACACACTAGTAAAATTATATCTGGTGTCTGAATAATTTTTGGTTTGACTATATATTTATTTTTAGAAAGACATCTCCTATGTTGACCAAGGCTGTATTTAAATAATCAAAAATACATTAAAACGTGAAATATTATTACAATTTGATTTATCTAATTTATTCCTTAATTTTCAGCAACCATTAGTCCAGTCTTCAGTGTCATATGATCCTTCAGATATCATTCTAATAGGCTGATTTGGTGCTCAAGAAATATTTGTAATTATTATGTTGAAAACCATTATGCTGCTTAATATTTTTTGTAGAAACCGCAATACATGTTTTTCAAGATTTGTTTTTCATTTATGATCCTGAGGTCTTTTCTCTCTTGTAGGGTGTCCTGTCTGCAGGAGGAGCTGGTTTCTTTGCGCCTGCAGTGTGCCAGTGTGTACAGGAAGGGTCATTTCTCCACAGGGGGTCTGCTGGGAGAGCATGTGGGTCAGAAGGGTTCCTCAGGCGGTCTGGCTACACTGGGAGCACAGACACTTCTGGGTGCAGTGGGTGCTGCGGCGTCCCTGCTCAGACGGCCGATGTCTCGTGCAGACCTGGTAGCCATGTCTTCATCTGAGGACGAAGGCAGTCTGCGCTTCATCTACGAGCTGCTGGGGTGGGTGGAAGAGACGCAGGACCTGCTGGAGCGAGCCGAGTGGGGTTCTGATCTACCCTCTGTAGATCAGCACCTGCAAGACCACCACATCATTCACACAGCAGTGGAAGATCTTCTGAATAGCCTCAAAGAGGCTCGAAACTATGAGGTACATGAACTGTCACACACCTCTCACACACATTCTGATGTAGTCTCAGCAATGCAATACAATTTGTGACTCTGAAAAAACATTTAGGCCTGAGTAAAGCTCATGAATGGTTGTATGCAGGGTCCAAAATTAGAAGTGGTGTGAATAGACTCCAGGAGCAATACTGCATGCTTTTACATAAGCAATAATTTATTTCTTCATGTTCTCTCTCCCCCAGTCAAGGGTCTCACCTAATTTACATAGCAGTTACTCTGAGACTCTATCCAAGCTGGAGAACCAGTATTGCAAACTGCTGGTGAGTTTTTCTGCTTTAGCATTATGATAAGCAGGCATATGTGAGTGTATTTGAGTTCATTATACAGTGCATTATGGATATTACTGTTTTCTAATCTCATTAGGGTGTGACAGAGTGTGTCCTTACAAAAGCAGAATACTGAATGCTTGAGTGTGACATGCATAAGAGTGCTGTAAAACACCTGCTCTTGACTATAAATCCACAGCCACACATGTCTCCTTAATTTAACCGAATCAATTTTCCATGAAAACCTGCAATTGTTCAAAAGACCTGTGAGGCCAATTCGCCAAGGGTGCTTTGCTTACCTCGGGAAAAGCACCAGACTGAGCGGTTGCCCGTGTCATATGGGCAATGTTATGTATGTTGTTTTGTGTTGTCGCAGGAACATTCGTCATGGCGACTGCGCTGCCTAGAGAGCCTTCGAGCTTTTGTGTCCCACTGCACTGAGGAGCTGATCTGGCTCAATGAGAGGGAGGAGGAGGAGCTGGCCTTCGACTGGAGCGACAGCAGCACCAACATGGCTGCCAAAAGAGAGCAATATGCTGTAAGACTCCATCTATAGAAAGATGCAGTAGTCATCATACTACCTCTGGCCACTACATCTTCCTTTACTGATTTAGAGATGTTTTTTGCCTTTTGACATACAAATGAGTTTAATGGATTATCAAAAAACAAGAAATGTAGAGCAGTACCTGGTTCTGTGCAGTGGTTGTTGATTGGATTTTGGAATGGATTTGATGAATCTTTCACAATAAGATCAATAAAATGCATTTACAAATTAGATTAGGTGATTTTAATGTTGTTACAGTTGGACATTACGTTGTTTTGGATTTGAGCAATATCTCAAATTCTCCTTACTCTCTCTTAGGACATGAGGTCAGAGCTGGAGGAAAAACAGGAAGTGATGCGCTCTCTCCAGGAGACAGCTGATCGCCTGTGTCATGAGAACCACCCAGCCAAACAAACAGTGGAGGTGAGCTGTTGACCAATATGAACAATCTTCACTCACTGACCTAAAAATAGGCTGCATTTACACTGCAAGTCTTAATGCACAGATCTGATCTTTTGACCATGTCTGATTTTTTTTTGGCCCACCTGTTTACATTCACTTCAGACACAACTGGCAGTGTTGGGGAAAGTTACTTTTAAAAGTAATGCATTACAATATTAGTTACATAAACTAATGCATTAGTTTATGTAACTAATATTGTAATGCATTACTTTTAAAAGTAATGCATTACAATATTAGTTACATAAACTAATGCATTAGTTTATGTAACTAATATTGTAATGCATTACTTTTAAAAGTAATGCATTACAATATTAGTTACATAAACTAATGCATTAGTTTATGTAACTAATATTGTAATGCATTACTTTTAAAAGTAATGCATTACAATATTAGTTACATAAACTAATGCATTAGTTTATGTAACTAATATTGTAATGCATTACTTTTAAAAGTAATGCATTACAATATTAGTTACATAAACTAATGCATTAGTTTATGTAACTAATATTGTAATGCATTACTTTTAAAAGTAATGCATTACAATATTAGTTACATAAACTAATGCATTAGTTTATGTAACTAATATTGTAATGCATTACTTTTAAAAGTAATGCATTACAATATTAGTTACATAAACTAATGCATTAGTTTATGTAACTAATATTGTAATGCATTACTTTTAAAAGTAATGCATTACAATATTAGTTACATAAACTAATGCATTAGTTTATGTAACTAATATTGTAATGCATTACTTTTAAAAGTAATGCATTACAATATTAGTTACATAAACTAATGCATTAGTTTATGTAACTAATATTGTAATGCATTACTTTTAAAAGTAATGCATTACAATATTAGTTACATAAACTAATGCATTAGTTTATGTAACTAATATTGTAATGCATTACTTTTAAAAGTAATGCATTACAATATTAGTTACATAAACTAATGCATTAGTTTATGTAACTAATATTGTAATGCATTACTTTTAAAAGTAATGCATTACAATATTAGTTACATAAACTAATGCATTAGTTTATGTAACTAATATTGTAATGCATTACTTTTAAAAGTAATGCATTACAATATTAGTTACATAAACTAATGCATTAGTTTATGTAACTAATATTGTAATGCATTACTTTTAAAAGTAATGCATTACAATATTAGTTACATAAACTAATGCATTAGTTACATAAAAAAGTAACTAATTACGTTTTAAATCTGGACAGGGCTTGCTTGTTTGTTTTTAAAATAAAAAAGTTATATTTTTGGCAAATATAAAAGCCTTTTCACACCAAAAGTGAAATGAATAAGCCTCAGGCTGAAGGGAAAGTAAATTTACGTCCGTACAGTAGAATGCAGAAGAAGTAATTTCAACACACTTCAGTAATAAAAAAAGACACACAAATGTTGTCTAGAGTAATTTTTGCTTAATAGTATAGTTGAACTGGATCATCGAAGGTCAGAAGCAAAGACATTGGTTAATAGAATGGGGTTAAATACATAAAGGATATTTGTGTTGTTTAACATTTAATTATTGCAGGTTTGCGTCATATTCTGAGTTGCATTATTTTTATTCATTTTGAGGAATACTGAATCTGTGGGGTTTTTTTTTTGTGAGTGAGATGAATTAATGCATATTCATATTTATTTTAGAACTACATTAACATCTTCTGATTTCTCTCAACATGGGGACAGGAGAGCTGTCAATCAGTAAATTGGAAATAAAAAAGTAACTTGCGTTACTTATTTGAAAAAGTAACTCAGATATTTTCTTGTAAATTAAAAAGTAATGTGTTACTTTACTAGTTACTTGAAAAAAGTAATCTGATTACGTAACTCGCGTTACTTGTAATGCGTTACCCCCAACACTGACAACTGGTATCCGATATCTGTGTTTACATTAATTCTCGAAAAAAAGATTGTCAGTGATCGCTTTACTATGCACATGGAAGACCCTCGGGTCTTGAATTGCTGTGCTATTAAAATGATTTATAGAATTCACGTCGAGTGGCCATTATTATTTACCAGCATGGACAACAGCTGGCATGGATGTTTTGCAGCACAAAATCTGACTGAACAGATAAAGACTGGAAAATAACAGTAATTTTCATTTATTATTTTATCTACAGCTCGTTAGAGGTAGAATTCTTTATTGAAATGAAGTAGCGCCAAGGTGATATTTATTTAAATGAATTCCAATGAATTAAAGGGGTCATATGATGCGATTTCAATTTTTCCTTTCTCTTTGGAGTGTTACAAGCTCTTGGTGCATAAAGAAGGAGATATTGGATATGTATCCAATTAAAATCCACATTCGGAAATGGCCCAGATCGGATGCAGAAATAATCGGATCTCGTGCAGATTTTTGTGTTTACATGTGTGCAACAAATTCCGATCTGTGTCAGATGTGAGCAAAAAATCGGATTTTTTTGTGCCAGTGTAAAAACAGCCATAGTTTGATATCAGATTTGGAACTCAGTCGTGACCTGTTGACCCTCTGATCACAGGCTTACAGTGCTGCCCTGCAGACGCAGTGGCAGTGGATCAAAGAGCTCTGCATATGTGTGGAGCAGCATCTCAAGGACAACACTGCCTACTTCCAGGTACTTTTCAATGGAATATTCAAAATGACATTTTTAACATGGGGTTTTAATGACATGTTTTTGTTTAATAGTTTACGAGTGATGCACGGGACTGTGAAAGCTATCTACGTCAACTACAAGACACCATTAAGAGACAGTACACCTGTGATAAGAACAGTAGACTCGGTAGACTGGAAGACCTGCTGCAGGACTCCATGGTGGGTCTTTCTTCTTATTTTAAAAAAAAAACAGCTTTAAACATATTTTACGTATTTTATTTTTATTTATTGCATAAAAATTCTGATTATGCTGAAATAGCGCTGGTCGTAGGAGATTTTATGCTTTATACGTAGTTAAGGAATGTGAATATTTGAGCACAGTGAGTGCACAGGAGGTGGTGAGTGTCCTCACATGTGACAGATGGCACTATGAGAGAGGAGTTGCACAAGAGCAGGCAGAGCGATGGGCATATCCTCTCTGGCCATACGGAAGAGAGACCCAGTCTGGCACAAGTGCATTGGAGTTCAACAAGGGAATGAATGCAGTTAAAAATTAGATCGAAGCTGGGATAGATTATCTTCTTAAAAAAAAAATATATATATATATTAAGTACAAATGAGTAAGAATAACACTAATTCCTAGTGATCCACCAGCACTGGCTGTTATTCACACAGCTGAGTTTAATATTTAAAAAATGTACTGTACTTAATACTATTATTACTATTTTTTCCAATTAACATGCGACTAATTAAATGCTTGTTTTTTTTCTTTAAAAACAAAAAAGTAATCATGCCATCATATTAAGAAAATGTTCTAGAATTGTTGCATTAGCTCATAATTAAACAAGCATCATCAAACGTTTGTTCAGAATTAGGCATACTTTTAGTTATTTAAAATATTTATGTTAGACATAAATTTGAACCACTTTTTCTTGCTCTCCCTGGGGATGATTTTAATTAAGCATTTGATGTCTCAAAAAAATGTTGATATGCCAAGTAACAATTGATAGCCCTCAAATAAGGTTTGGCTTGTTTGCCATAATTTCACCTTCTTTGTAGCTCTGAAAATCCTTTGTGGATTTGATAAATTCTAACCCCATGCTGATATGCAGTCAAATTTAATATCACATGTTAAATTCTTGCAGCGAGTGTAATGTTATTAGCTCTTCCTGTCGGCCTCTGCTTCCCAAAGTCAGAACTAATGAGTCCCTCATGAGCTTTTCATGGAAGTGTCATACCACATACTCATTAATTTTAGCACAATGAAAGCTAAGCAAATAATAACCCAGGAAAGAATATCAGTGATGGCCTTTCATTTTCTTAAAGCTATTTCAAAAGTCATTAATCTATTATAGTGAGAGAAAACAAATATTTATCATCATGAAAGCACGTTTACGTTGAGTTTGTTTAACACGGGCAAGGAAAAACAAGTATTAATGGAAGAAAATCTAATTATGCTGACTATGCAGAGGCTGAATTCAAACAGATTATTTGAAATATTCTGATTAATGCATTTAAATATTTATTGAATTGAGTTTATTGAACCATATTTTACTGCTGTTATCTGTTTGGCTGCTTGATTGACTTTCTTATGTTTTATTTTTCAGGAGGAGAAAGAACAATTGATTGAATACCGCAGCACAGTGGCCAGCCTTGTAGGCCGAGCCAAGTCTGTAGTCCAGCTCCGTCCACGCAGTGCAGATAGTAACCTAGGCACCACCACACCAATTCGTGTCATCTGTGACTACCGACAAATAGAGGTATAACATGCTCCAGATATCTCACCATCACAATTTGCTTTGCCTTAATTTACCACATCTCAACCCTGCATTGATCTTTTTGCTCTTGAGAACTGAGCTAAGATCACATTTGGGATATTAAAGTGATCCTAATTCAGTTTTTCTGAGTTTTACGTTTGTAGCCCACTCCTACCCCACCTGAACAAAAAGTATTTTAGCTTTTACATCACTAGCCAGAGTCTGTCCACACATATTTAGTCATAAACCACCCTGGAACTGTGAAGGCAAGTATAATGGGAAAAGGTGCCATTGACCAAAATATATCCAGAAGATCTGTCCTATGTTTGCCCATTTAGCTGTTAGCAAAGATTTCTGGGAAAGTGGGGGTGTGGCATATCATGAGTGATGAACAGACATGCTATAGCATGTCTAATCTGCCAATCTGAATATATGACGCTCTTCATTCACACATGACATACTCTATTTAAATTATGAAATGAGATGCTGTCATTTATTGAATATTAATTTGAATGCAGAATACTCATAAACGCTCATTCACTCTCCCAGCTGTGGCCCTGTTTCTTTTCCTGATCATATTATCTCAGTCAGGCGAGGTCTGCTAAATGCCCAAAAGTAATCTTTTTCTCCCTCCCTATCCCCGTCCCACCCCCCCTTTTCTCTGCCCTCCCCCAATGTTCCTCCTTTTCCTTTTTCCCTCCATTGACCCCCGTCTTTCTCTCTCTGTTCCCCTCCTTCTCCCTTCCTCTTTATGTGTGTCTGCGGGGCTGGGCAAGGCCAACTCTCAGGTACTATTGCCGACCGTTCTCCTCCTCTGACCTTTGCTCTCTGGCCTGGCCCTGCACACAAGGGACCCCTGCTTTACCTCAGGCGTCCTGTACATTGTTAATGTGAAATAGCGCATATATACAGTGGGTACGGAAAGTATTCAGACCCCCTTAAATTTTTCACTCTTTGCAGACTCCACACCCCAGCACAATATCAGAAGTCGCAGACAATGCAGTTCACATAGCAGAGCAAGAGGTGAGGAGTGATCAGCACAACTACTCCCTCTACTGGTCAATCACCGCAATAACTGTGTATTAGTTCCAATCTGCACAACAGTTTTTAGCTGATGCACATAAATAAAGCAGTCCATAGTATCTGCAATTATGGAAAATACTGTAAATTCTACAAAAATCAGAACACTGCAGTATGTGTTACTAACAGTGATCAAATTGTTTATAGTTATAGTTTACAAGTTTTGTGGTATTATTTATAGACTATTGTAATATGTATTAATGTTTTGAATTAGCTTTTATCTTTGTTTTCAATTTTCATTATTGCTAGAGTAGTTTTGTTATGTTTTTTTTTTCATCTGTTATGTCTGTATAGCTGTAATTTATTTGAATTAAGTCATTTTTAGTACTTCAACTTAAATGTTTTTCAGTTAGTTGCCTCAGTTATCTGATGTTTATATTTCATTTTATTTCAGCTTTATTTCAGTTACCGAAAATGATTTAAAAGTTTTAGTTTTAGTTAGCAATAACAATAGTGACCTCATTCAGTGATTTTACTATCACAGTTTTCTTTCAGTTGTTGAAATATGTCGCACTGATATAAATTCATAGTATACTATTTATATTATATATATATATATATATATATATATATGCAAGTTGAGTCATCAATATTTTTTTTATTTTTTTCTAGAAGAGAAAGACTGGCTTAAATGTGCATGTTTGTTTAATTTTCAGTTTTTATTTTCAGTCATTTCAATATTTTTTTTATTTCATTTAATTTAGCAGTTCATTTTGTCAACTTTTAGGACTAGCTACATTACATGGACTAGAAGCTGCAAATGTCATTTAAATTGCATGTAGTCTGAAGAAAAAATAAATGTAATCTGAAGAATCTTTTAATGGTTTTCCAGAAGCTGCAGCAGGATCTGAAAGGTCTTCAGTCAGATTTGGGTGAAGTGTCTCGTCGCTGCGTGAGCTTCTTTGAGGAGAAACCTACCTCTTCCAGTGTGCCTGTCCTACGCTCTGAGCTCAACCTGGCTGTAGAGCACATAGAGAAACTCAACTCCCTCTCCTCTGTTTATCTGCAAAAGTTAGTACACAAAGTCATTTCAATTCATGTATTCATGTACTCTTATTAGTCATCAAGGCTTGTTTAGCCTTAGGGACAACCATAATTTGAGTGTCTGTTTCTCTGCATCTGCCAGATTGAAGACGGTTGATGTGTTGATGAGAAGCCTGCAGGCTGCAGAAAGTCAAGTGAAAAAGTATGAGAGTCGACTGAGTGAAGAGGATATTGTCCCCGCTGATACTGCTGCAATCCAGGCCTTGGGAGAGCAGTTAAATGTGAGAGACGCAGACACATTCATATATTCAGACACATTCATAGCTAGCAGTTGACTAATATCTCAACCAAACCAACTAATCGCCAAAGCAATATTTGTTCATATGATATTATCCTTATAAGACAATATGTGACCTTGGGCCACAAAACCAGTCTTTTTCTTTTATGCCAAAAATCATTAGGATATTAAGTAAAGATCATGTTCCATGAAGATATTTTGTAAATTTCCTACCATAAATATATCAAAACTTAATTTTTGATTAGTAATTTGCATTGCTAAGAACTTCATTTGAACAACTTTAAAGGCGATTTTCTCAGTATTTTTATTTTTTTTTCACCCTCAGATTCCAGATTTTCAAATAGTTGTATCTCGGCCAAATATTGTCCTATCCTAACAAACCATACATCAATGGAAAGCTTATTTATTCAGCTTTCAGATGATATGTACATCTCAATTTCTGAAAATTGACCCTTATGACTGGTTTTGTGGTCCAGGGTCACATATTTGTTTTATTCAAAAACATTTCTCTTAAACACAAAAACAAGTCAGGATTTTGCTACCTCAAAAGAAATAGATTGCTTTTCCACTATCTCTGACATTCACTAAAATTGCATTTTGCCCCCTAGTGGCAGTTGCACATTACTTTCAAAATCGTTGTGCAAAAACAGTTACCTTCTGCTTATTCACCAAGCTTAAATGGGTGAATAATAAAAGTATGAATATGTCCACACAAACAAATGACTGCATAGTACATTTTCTAGGGCAAAAAATTGTTTTGGACATGATCACATTCTCCCATTTTCATGAACTGCCTTTTTTATTATTTTGTACTGTTCTCTGAGGTCCCCTTATAATGTTATCAAGATTTCAACATCATTTAGAAGTAATAGGCTATTTTCTGTCCTGTTTTTAACCCCCCTCATCAGAAGGCTCTGTTTGAATACACGTGTCAGGTTGTAGACTCGAGTCGGAAGTAAACGCCCACTGCTATGATTGGCTAACCGTTGTGTATGTTTGACAGCGTACATCCTTCATAGATGGATGCTGCTGTGATTTAGGTCAAAAATGCATAAATACTCTGTTTAACAGACAAAGCAAAAGTGAGCAAGTAATAAAAACAGTTACTCACACTTGTGTGTTGCGACATGACTGTCGGATTCAATATAGTCAGCACAGCATCGTCTTAGTTTCAATCTCTGAAAAAACTGCGTTGAATTGTGCCTTGTTTTTTCTAAACTAATCCGTAGTAAAATGAAGTGAACAAAACACCAAGTTCTTACTCATGCAGTCTTGATCTTCAAATAAAGTTAATCCAAAGTTCATTTCTGAATGTTAGGATCAGAAGGAAGGCAATGCAAAGACTGTTTTTCCACAACTTGGCACTGCACAGTGTCTTGTTGTCTTGGGAGCCATCTTTATCGCTTGGTTTCTGCATAGACCTGCATTCCCTCTCTCATTATTTACCTACTACATGCATGAATCGGTGGGCGGGGCTAAACAGGCAGTGATGTAGAAGCAGATGTTGATCTTCTTCTGCGGCGGCGGGGTTTAGCCACACTATTACGTCATAAAGTGGCACATTCCACAACCTCTCTTTTTGGCAGATTGGCTTCAATATAAGCTGTTTTTAGACTAACGAGAAAGTTTTGAGTTCTGAAACTTACAGGATGTTTTTATAGTTCAATGACCTCCTATATGTCAAAAGATCAATGAATCATGACTCCTTTAAAGAATAACATGGTGTTTAAAGAATACTTCAAAATTATTGGTAGGCCTAATTCCAACCTCATGCTCATAGTTTTAATTGGAATAACTCACAACTGATTGGTGCGTTCAGTTGCAAAAGTTCAGTTTCAATATACCCAAAGCTCAAATCAGATCTGAAAACTGCAGATGCATATCATCAAAATTCCACGTAGCTCTGAAAATGAATAACTTCCAGTCTGTTGTTTGTTAGAGACAGTGGAAAGGTGACTTTACTGTTAACTTTTTGATTGCATTTCATACTCTGTATGTCACGCTGTTGCAGAAATGGCATTCAGAGCTGGAGGAGCAGAATCACATATTCAAGAGTCTGAGTTTAGAGGTCCAGCAGGCTAGAGAGGTCGGAAACCAGCTGTTTGACAGCGTACATCCTTCATAGATGGATGCTGCTGTGATTTAGGTCAAAAATGCATAAATACTCTGTTTAACAGACAAAGCAAAAGTGAGCAAGTAATAAAAACAGTTACTCACACTTGTGTGTTGCGACATGACTGTCGGATTCAATATAGTCAGCACAGCATCGTCTTAGTTTCAATCTCTGAAAAAACTGCGTTGAATTGTGCCTTGTTTTTTCTAAACTAATCCGTAGTAAAATGAAGTGAACAAAACACCAAGTTCTTACTCATGCAGTCTTGATCTTCAAATAAAGTTAATCCAAAGTTCATTTCTGAATGTTAGGATCAGAAGGAAGGCAATGCAAAGACTGTTTTTCCACAACTTGGCACTGCACAGTGTCTTGTTGTCTTGGGAGCCATCTTTATCGCTTGGTTTCTGCATAGACCTGCATTCCCTCTCTCATTATTTACCTACTACATGCATGAATCGGTGGGCGGGGCTAAACAGGCAGTGATGTAGAAGCAGATGTTGATCTTCTTCTGCGGCGGCGGGGTTTAGCCACACTATTACGTCATAAAGTGGCACATTCCACAACCTCTCTTTTTGGCAGATTGGCTTCAATATAAGCTGTTTTTAGACTAACGAGAAAGTTTTGAGTTCTGAAACTTACAGGATGTTTTTATAGTTCAATGACCTCCTATATGTCAAAAGATCAATGAATCATGACTCCTTTAAAGAATAACATGGTGTTTAAAGAATACTTCAAAATTATTGGTAGGCCTAATTCCAACCTCATGCTCATAGTTTTAATTGGAATAACTCACAACTGATTGGTGCGTTCAGTTGCAAAAGTTCAGTTTCAATATACCCAAAGCTCAAATCAGATCTGAAAACTGCAGATGCATATCATCAAAATTCCACGTAGCTCTGAAAATGAATAACTTCCAGTCTGTTGTTTGTTAGAGACAGTGGAAAGGCGACTTTACTGTTAACTTTTTGATTGCATTTCATACTCTGTATGTCACGCTGTTGCAGAAATGGCATTCAGAGCTGGAGGAGCAGAATCACATATTCAAGAGTCTGAGTTTAGAGGTCCAGCAGGCTAGAGAGGTCGGAAACCAGCTCAACCAACTGCACCCTGACCGTAGCCCTGAACTGGACCGCTACCAGGAGAAAGCACAACAGCTCACAGAGAGGTGGAGCGGAGTGAGCAGGCAAATGGAGACACGGTGAGTTGTTTCAAAGTCAAACTACCAATATTTTTGGTAATATTCCAGATTATAACACAAATCATAATGTCCTACAGGCAAGCGGATCTGGAGATGCTGGGTTCGGTGCTGCAGCAGTACAGAGAAGGCCACACCTCTCTCATCCGCTGGATAGAGGAGACCACCGAAAAACAGGAGAACACACAACCCGAGCAGACGGACAGCAGAGCTTTGTCAGAGCAGCTCGCACAGCAAACGGTGAGAGGCGACACTTATATTGATGAATACTTCCACGTGTTGTAAAACAGATCAGTGTTTGATTCAGTATCTGTTCTTCTGTAGGCCTTGGTGGCTGAGATAGAACAGAACCAGGTCAAACTGGATGAATGCCAGACGTACTCTAAACAGTACTGCGCTGCTGTTAAGGTAAGCACTCTGTCAAAGTGACTAGTGTCGGCTACTGCTTACTGCTAGTCATTATGGAGAAATGGAAACATAAACACTTGCTACACAATATATATTTCTTCTCTTTCTTCTATTTTATGCATTAGGACTATGAACTCCAGCTTATGACATTCAGAGCTTTTGTTGAATCAACCCAAAAGTCTCCTGTGAAAAGAAGGAGGATGCACTCTTCATCAGATGTCATCACACAGGAGGTAAATGCAGAAAAACCAGGCTCATATGACATTAATTTGAGATTTATATTAGTTTTCATGTTGACATCAAATGCTTTAATCACAATTTTCTACTGTGTCTTAGTTTATGGATTTACGCACGCGATACACAGCTCTGGTTACACTGACAACACAACATGTCAAGTATATTAGTGATGCACTACGACGACTAGAGGAGGAAGAGGTGTGTTATGCTTTTCTAATCCTCCTACTTTAAGTTTTTTTACCTACTGTATACATGCACAAGTATTTGCATAATAAAGACAACATCAGATTTCATCATAAAATGTTTGCTTAATGAAAATGTTTCCCCTTTGTGGTACAGAAAGAGGTGGAAGAGGAGAGGCAGGCACGAGTGGGCCAGGTCTCAGAGCTGCTCGGCTGGGTCAAGGGCCTACAGGAGCGTGCTGGCAGATCTGCCGAGCCGTCACTTGCTGCACAGCAGGTACATTTCAAGTGTTGTCTATTAGAATATTATCTATTTTTAAGTACTCTACAGACAGTAGTGTATCAGTCAACACTGAGTAGATTGTATGTGTTAAGTGGCTTTGAAAATACTGTATCTGTCTAACTTCTAGGCTATTAGTGAGCAGTTAGCAGCTAAAAAAGAGGAAGTTGCTGAAGCTATCAGGAGCACCCAAGTCTTCCTGATGTCAAAACAGGCCAGCAAGTGAGTTTGCACTATACGACCTTCAACAGCGGTTCTCAGACTCTTCAGACCAAGTGCTGCCAAGTCAGATCAATCAATGTCAGAGCATTTATTCCAGGTCACATTTGCTACAACTAAAAAAAAAGTCTTAATATTTTTAGTTTACAGTAACCCCAGGCCACTTGGGGTTGTTCTGTATATAATAGTTTAAGAACAACTGCACTATATCCATATAAATGTCAAATATGTATGCACTTACTCAAACACAAACGCATACATTGTTATTAATGAAGCACATTTATCTTTAGGCTGTCTCCTGAAGAGCGCGCACAGGTGGTCTCCCAGCTGGATGAGCTGACGGCCACCTACACTCAACTGTGTGACAGTTCTGCCACACACTTGCAACAACTGGAGGAGCAGCTGGCCAAAGAGGAGAAGCGCAAGGTAGAGTTAGAGGGGCAAAAGAAAGTCCACAGTGACAGCAGTGTTCAACTTTGCCAAACGAGCTTCAACAGCAAAAAGCTTGTCTTGAAATGCTTCTGAATTATATTGCTTTGAATAGTGGTCTTCGTTATGGTCAAGTATTGTCAGTGTGCTAGAGATATGCTACAGCAGTGTGTATGTGTGAGCTAGAGCGAGTGAATCATTTTTGTGTGTTTTTATGTTGCCTGTCACGTGTGGTTTAACATTCATCACCACGTTCATACATCTCACAGACATTGTCTTATTTAACAGTTATAAAAAATTAATAGCATGGTGTGAAATCTAAATCATTCCTTTTTTCTACAACATGCCTGATATCATGTCATCAACATCATCCTTATTGTCATTATTAATCGAGCACATCTGCTTAAACACAACTCATCAGCTCATTAGAGTAGAATAGTGTGACTTTTTGGCATCAGAAACTGCTTCTTTAGCCACTTTAGTGTCCATTGCAGCCACATGCACATTGTAGTTTAGCTCGTTTCATTTAAATAAGGTACATATAAACATGTAAATGTAAAGGCATAATTGTCATTACATTCATATTGTTTTGTTTCCACATGCAGTCACAAACATTGTGTAGAACTGTGCACCCATACATACATCAGCCATTATGTAGTGGTTACTGTGTGAAGAATGATATGTTTGTGTTTGAATGGCTAGAAGCTAAAGATATAAACAAGGTAGATTCATCAGAAAGCAGTCGTCAAAATATTTTTCCTAGGGATTGGTATAGACTGAGCACAAAAAGCCAGCTATGCAAACCTCCACCTCACTCTTTGAGCATGATGTGTCCAGATCACAGCTATATTTGTTTGTGTGTTTGTATGTGTGATATTGTCTGTTTTCAGTCCATGTCTTTAATACTGTAATTCTTTGTGAAATTTAATTAGCATTTTGCTTCAAAATCACTAACAGCTGCAGGGAGAAAATGTAAGACATCATCTTAGAATTGGGTGTAAGAAAAAAGTCGGAATGCAGGACTATCCTTAGTTGACTAGTAATAAAAAAAAAATGCATATATGCCAACCAAGATCTTCACACATTCATAGGTAAGTCTAAAAACAAATATTTAGAAAAACTCTACTCTGAAATTCAGTAGTAGAGGTATGAAAATGTAGATAGTCAGTCCCGGGCAGCATATCAGGCAGCTGGAGTGTGGCATGCAGATCGCTAACATCCGGCTTCTCACCCTATCGCGCCTCAAACCGCCGAACCCTCGGCCTGTCAGTGTGTGTGCGTCTAAGGACCACCTCACACGGTAAGTAGTGCTTGCTTTCTCTTACCGTTGCTTTCTTTCTGACCTAGCAATATGTTCTCAAGGTCCGTTCTCTCTTTTCTTTGGCCTCTTAGTAGTTTAAATGTTCAGTTCAGTGCATTTTTGCATATTTTTTTGCACAATGCAGTGCTGTGCTGCCAAATGTTTTTTTGCATGTTCAAAATGTAATATTTTTAAAGAAGATACTTGATATTTTTATTAATTTTTGAATGAATAAATGCATGAATGTTAGTATCAAGATGATTGCTTCTTATGCTGATTTAAGTTACTTCAGCTATGGTGGTGGGCATTTTTCTCTTTCCCTCCCAGTTAAACTGTGAATAAAAATACACTGCAAATTCAAATAAGAAGCGTTTTTTAAATTTATGATTTTTTTTCTTTCCATAGGGCCAAGAAATCATCGCTGGAGTAATTGACCTTGGCACCATGGAAACCTTTCCAGTTTTCCAGGCAGCACAGCGTGGCCTCATAGACCAAGACACCTGTCATGTACTGTTGGAGGCACAGGTCGTCATGGGTGGTCTATTCCAGCCTGACTCCCCTGATAAACTGTCATTAGATAAGAGTCTTTCCAGTGGTTTGATTGATAAACATACCTACCAATCACTGGAAGAGTTAGAGACTGCCCTTGGTCTTGTCAACACAGTAACATTTGCAGAGGGTCAGGAATTACCTGTAGCCACTGCTGTGAAAGAAGGCGTCATAAAGGAGCTGGTGGGGCTCCGTATACTTGAGCTGCAGATAAGCACTGGCAGCCTGAAGTCTGGTTCCAGTGGAGAAATGGTCAGCCTGTATCATGCAAGGGAGAAGGGATTGTTATCCCCTGATCTTTGTCAAAAGCTGCAATCCTGTCTTCACCGGCGAGAACTTATTGATCCAAATACAGCAGAAAAACTAAGTCTGGTTGACTTTCAACAGCGATGTGTTCTCAAACAGGAGAAGGGTCTGCGCTTATTTCCAGTTAAACAGAAGCCAGGAGGAACGGTCTGCTTATGCTCTGGCAGAAAGGTGGGAATATTCTGTGCTGTTCAAGAGGGGCTTATCGACCGGCATGTCACAGTTCGACTTCTGGAGGCTCAGTTGTTTGCTGGAGGTATCACAGACCCCCGCTCAGGACACAGATTGACTGTTAATGAGGCTGTCCGGCATGGCCTGATGGATCAGGACTTGGCCTGCACCCTCATGACACGACAGCTACAAACAGGAGGAATAATAGATCCAGTCAGTGGGGAGCGTCTAGAGTTGGATGAGGCCATAAAACGAGACCTTCTCTCTCCTCGCATAGCCTTGCGTGTACTGGAATCTCTCCAGTCCTTTATGGCAATAATGTGGCCAGAATCAGGCGAGCGGTTTCCTGTAAGTGAGGCACTTCAGCAGGGTGTTTTCAATAGAGAGCTTGCTGCAAAAGCCTTGAGAAAACGTCATTCTGTTGGTGCAGTATATCTGCCTGAGAGTGGACAGGTGGTCCCTCTCCATCAAGCTGAGAAGATACTTAAGCCACAGGCAGTGGAGATCCTAAAACACATCCAGGTTCCAGATGTCCTTCCCCATGTGTCTCTGTCAAGTTCCTCATATATGAAGCGATTGAGTTCTGGATCTGCCTATTCTTCATCACCCCCTGCCTCACATGCAGATATCAATTATGTCTTTTTCATCACGGAGGAAGGCAGGTCAGAAGAGCAGATTCAAAACCACCTTCTCAGTCAAGTGATGACACACAGCTACATTAATGCTCACTCAGGAGAACGCCTAGTCTTACTAGAACCAGAATTGGTAGAACTAATATGTAGAAATGTCAAAACCGCAAACCTTGCCAGACCAGTCCAACTCAAAATTTCTGACAACGTTAGAGTTATGCTGGACAGCAAAGATATGAGTGGGATTGAAGAGGAAAAAAATGAAGAACTCAAAATTTCACAACATGAAATTGCCCGCAGGGACTCTTATATGGAAGAGACTGTAGAAATGGCAGGGGAAGATCTTGCACCCTTGATGGTCACCAACAGAACCTTTAAAGAGCCTTTGCATAAAGTAGTTTTGCAAGAGAAAGTTCTATCATCAGAAGAGTATGAACAACCCAAGATAAAAGGTAAAATTGCCTGCAAGATAACTGATATAGGAGAGGCAGTAGAAAGAACAGAAGATCTAGCACCATTGACAGAAACAAACATCACAGAGCTTTCAAATGAAGAGATTCAACAAGAAAAGGTTTTGTCATCAAGAGACTATGTAGAATCCAAGATTAAAAGAGATGACACTGACAGCAGAAATACTGACATGGGTAGGACTATAGAAGGAACGGGGGAAGAACTTGCATGCTTGACAGGCACTGACCGAACTTCTATAGAGCCTTCACATGCAGAGGTTTGGCAAGAGAGAGTTCTATCATCAAGAGAATGTGAAGAACCCAAGATTAAAAAAGATGAAATTGAGAGCAATAACACTAATGTGGGTGAAAGTATCGAACTGGCAGAGAAAGATGTTCCACACTTGGCGAGTAAAGACAGACCCTTTATAGTGCCTTCACATAAAGAGAACTTGCAGGAGAACGTTCTGTCACCAGGAAGACATGAAAAACCCAAGTTTTTAAAAGGTAAAATTGCCTGGACAAACACTGATATAGGTGAGACAGTAGAAAGAGCAGAGGAAGATCTTGCACCCTTGACAGGCACAGCTAGAGATGTAATAGTGCCTTTACATAAAGAGAACTTACAAGAGAAAGTTTTATCATCAGGACAATATACAGAACCCAAGATTAAAAAAGTTGAAACCTCCAGCAAGGAGACTAACATAGGTGAGACAAAAGAAAGACCAGGGGAAGATGTTGCAGCTTTAACAGGCTCAAAAATAACCTTTATAGAGTCTACACGTGAAGTTGTTTGGCAAGAGAAAGTTCTGTCATCAGGAGAATATAAAGAACCCATTATTATAAAAGGTAAAATTGACTACAATATCACTGGTATGGGTGAGATGATAGAAAAAGCAGAGGAAGATGTTGCACCCTTGACAGATGCAGGCAGGGCTTTTATGGATCCATTAAATAAAGACAATTTACAAGAGAAAGTTCTTTCATCAGGACAACCCAAGATTAAAAAAGATGAAACGGTGAGCAAGAAGACTAACATAGGTGAGACAATAGAAAGACCAGAGGAAGATGTTGCAGCTTTAACAGGCTCAGAAATAACCTTTATAGAGCCTACACATGAAGTTGTTTGGCAAGAGAAAGTTCTGTCATCAGGAAAATATGAAGAACCTATGATTATGAAAGGTAAAATTGCCTGGAAGAACACTGGTATGGGTGAGATGATAGCAAGAGCAGAGGGAGATCTTGCACCCTTAACAGGCACAGAAGGAACTTTTATGGAGCCTTCACATGCAGTTTGTCAAGAGAAAGTTCTGTCGTCAGGAGAATGTGATGAATCTACCATTTTAAAAGGTAAAATTGCCTGGAAGAATGCTGATGTGAGAGAGAAAATAGATAGAGAGGAAGAAGATCTTGCACCCTTGACAGGCAAAGAAGGAACTTTTATGGAGCCTTCACGTGAGGTTTGGCAAGAGAAAATTTTGTCAGGAGAATGTGATGAATCTGAGATTAAAAAAGATGAAATTGACAGGAAGGAAACTGAAATGGGTGAGACTAAAGTAAGAGCAGAGGAAGATCTTCCACTCTTGACAGTCTCAGAAAGAACCTTTATGGAACCTTCACAAGAAGAGTACTGGCAAAAGAATGTTCTGTCATCGGGACAATATGAAGAACCCAATATAAGTAAAACTGCCAGCAAGAAGACTGATATGGGTGAAACTATAGAAAGGACAGAGGAGTATCTTGCACCCTCAACAAGGAAAGGCCTAAACTTAACAGTGCCTTTTCAAACAAGCTCAACCCTACCAAAGACTATATCGGATAACGGGACACCCGCTCAAAATCAAATTATAGATTCAACACTAAATGAATCTAAAAATAAGCAAACACTTGACCTGGAACAGGCAGATAATAGTGGGGTATTTCTAAAGATAACAGAACAAAAAATGTTTGACATAGGTGAAAGCAGTGCACGTACTTCACATCAAGATACTGTAAATGTAGGACAATATGATCAGCTATATATCAATCCAGATGAAGCCAAGACAGCAAAGCAGTCAGATGAACTGAAGAAAATCGTTGCACACAAGGAAAATAAAAGGATATTTGAACAACCTGGTAAAGATAAGAAATTATACCCTTCAGAAATTAAGACTTTGTCAGTGGAACTAAGTGATGATGATGTGAAGCTTGAGAGTATGGCTTTGGAACTGCAACAAAGGGGTCTTGTAACTGTAGAGGGCCAAAAAGTTATTCTGGATGAAGCTGTGGCACAGGGTTTGCTTCCAGGGCACACTGCTATGAAGCTTATGGAAAAAGCTGGTCTCTTTGGTGGTTTTCTGGATATTAATGCCTGTAAGTCACTTAGTGTTGAGGATGTGATGCAAGAAGGCCTGTTGGATGAGGACTTGATGGCCTGTGTGCTTCATTCAGAAAAGATTTTAGCCGGTGTGATTGATGTGGAGCATGGTTGGCACTGCTCAATAAAGGATGCTGCTGAGGCAGGCCTGTTGGACTCCGATACGGCTGCTCGTCTCCTTGAAGCCCAGGTTGTGTCAGGGGGAATAGTTGACCTACGAAGAGACAAGAAGTTATCAGTTACCCTTGCAGCCAACCTTGGGCTGATTGAAGATGGTAGAAAGGAGAAGCTTCTTGCACTGGAAAAGTCATGCCGGGGAAAATGTTCAGATCCAAATGCAGTGCAAACCAAGTTGGCGCTACAGTTACAAATGAAAGGAGTGGTGGACCCAAAAACCAAAAAGGCTGTCCCACTGGAACAAGCCCTTCAAACTGGGTTAATTGGACAGGATGAGGCTCAGACGATTTTATGCCAGCAGGTTGCAGAAGGTGGCATTGTGCATCCTGGCTCTGGTGTTCGCCTTGCTGTTGTGGATGCTCTACAACTGGGTCTCATAGATCACACAGTTGCTCCAAAGTTGATGGAACTTGAAAAGGCATTCAAAGGCCAAGAACCAAGTAGTTTGGATCAAAACACTTCACTTCTTCAGGCCTCTACAGGTTCTATTTATGATGATGTATCAAAAAGCAGGATTACTCTGAGTGAGGCTGTTTCTAAAGGCCTCCTAGGTGAAGAAACAGCAAATAAAGCTATGGACTCATCCAACGTGAAAAGTGGATTGTTGGATCCTCATAAAGCTTGTATTGTGTCCTACTCTGAGCTGATAAACCAGGGTAAAATTGACATTGAGACACGACAGAGATTCCTTGAAGTGAGACCTTTCAGGGGAGTTCCTCATAAACAAACTGATGAAATGATGACCTTACCACAGGCAATTAAGGCAGGCCAAATAGATCCCATACCAGCAGTGAGAGTATTGCAGAGTCAAGCAGATACAGGGGGTATCATTAACATTTACAGTGGAGAGCGTTTGCCTCTTCCGGAGGCTATAAATAAATGCTTAGTTGATAAAGACATGGCTAAATGTATTGCTACATATCAACTCTCGAAAGGGGGGTTGCTCAATCCAGCCAGTGGACAGAAGGTCTCCAGCATTACTGAGGCGATCGAATATGGGCTTATTTCTACTGAAATGGCTGCAGAACTTCAACACAGCATGGGCCTTGTAGATGAAGATGAGAAGAAAAGTTCTCAAATATCAGCCTCCTCAACGAAAGGAACTTCTAGTTCTTTTGTTCCTGAGATGATATCTGAGCGTGTCAGTCCTAATAAAATGTCACTTGAGAAAGGTCTATTGAGTATACCATCACCACCATCATCATATCTTACAGAGACTGAAATAAAAGATGCAGATCTTTGGAAAAAAGAGGAGCTTGAATCTTTTGACATCCGTCCTGATTTAGAAAGTAAGGAACAATTGGTTGATGCCGTGATGCAGGACAGCAATGATACATCATTGGAGGTTCTGACAGAATTTACCTTGAAAGCAGAAAAAAGACTTCAGCAGGTCATTAAAGAGATAAAGCCCACAGAAAGCGAACATATCAAATCACAGCCAATCCAAAGCCCTGAGCAACCTGAAGAGATGTCTGATTTCAAATGGCAAAAGGTGGACGTTAAGAACTCAACAGCTTTACTTGACCACACCGCAGAGATGGAAATCCAGAGTCAGACAGTCAGTGTATCTGCAGTTACTACTGCCATTTTATCAGAAAGCAGTGATAACCGCAAAGAACAAGTCCCATCTACTGAGCAAACAATAGGAGGGACAGAGATCCAAAGGCAGACAGTAAGTGAACCTGCAATCTCTGAAGTCAGTTTCTCAGATGCCGATGATGGCTTGCAAAACAAGGAACAAACCCCATCTATAGAGCAAATAGAGGGGCATAGTTTCAAGTTAGAAGCAGATCAGTCAGTGTCCAAACCAGAGAAAATCAAGGACAGCCAAGAGACTGGATTGGATCCTTATGCTTCTACAACCACAAGGCCAGTTAAAGTATCAGGAAAGAAGAAAGGCAGAGGAAAAAATGGCAAGCAAGCTAAAATGGAAAGTGATGTAAAGCTACAAGTTTCAGAAACCTCAGCCAGAATTTCACCTATAGAAAAAGCAGAGGTTGATGGACAAGATGGCTTTACCACTAATCAAAAGCGTATTATGAAAGACGACAAAGAAAAGGTGGTTGAAGTACAGCAATCAGAGACAACCCATGGAAGTGGTAGCACTGCACCTTTGACAGGGAGTGATGAGACTGCGCAAGGCAAAGATTTGGAAATAGGGGTGGATAGAACTGCTAATGAAACTAAGACCCCCAAATGTGAGTCTGATCATGAATCCGATGAAAAACAAAAAGAGAAGACACAGAACAGTGTCACGACTTGCATGGCAAAAACAGACCAGAGTCAGGAAGCTGTTGTGGTCTCTAAGGACCTTGGCACAGAGGTATCAGAAAAGAAGAGAAAGAAGAAAAGCAAAAGTAAAAAAGTTAAGCAAGTGTGTATTGTTGAAACAGAAGGTGTAGAGAAAAGAGATGATGAGACTGAGAAAGAGCAAAAGACGGTGATCCATGAGGTCCAACCTCAAAGCAATCAATCAGATGAGAAAGAAAGTATGAAGCAACTTGAGAAAGCCAATCAGGCAATGGCACAGAAGGAAATACTTTTGATGAAAGCTAAGGAAAGCATTCTTAGGAAGGTGTTTGAGCGAGGAGTGAGTGAAAAACAAGCTGCTGAAGAATTAGAAGCGATGCGTCAAGTAGCTAGTAATGAAGAATACCGTATTACCACCCAAGAGGAAACTATTGTAGAGAAGACAAGCACTAAGCCTCCTCAAAGTAAGAAGAAAGACGACAAACTACACCAGACGGGGCAAGAAATGAATGAAAGGGTTGAAAGATCAGTGCCAAACATTGCAGAGAATCCTCTACCTGGGTCTGATATTGATCCATGCTCCTCAGCTAAAACACAGCTTCAAAAACCAGAAGAAGATCAGCATGACAAGCATACAAACACGGGATTAAGTGGAGATGATATGAATCAGAATATTCCATCTATGAAAACATCTGATGACATTGTGGACATAAACCAAAAAGAACTGGTTCTAATCCAGAATTTAGAAGGGGAAACCAAAGAAAGAACAGCAAAAGAACAAAGCATTGAGCCGTTATATACAGATGAAAAGTTGATAGACCCTATGATTGAAGTGACCTTGCCATCAAGCATTGCAGTGACTGACAGCCATGAAATTGCTAAATCCATACCCCTCAAATGTGTCTTCAACATCCCAGTAATGAAGGACTCCAAAGCACTTCTATCAAGTGAAGTGTGTACTCCTTTACATAATACAAAAACAGCAGTGAAAGAGGCAAGCAGTGAAGTTCATCAAGAAAGAATCGAGGAGCCCCCTTTCAGTGATTATGAAGCCACAGATGAACCTTCTATCCAAAAATGTAAAGTTTCTGGTCTACCCCTTATGGAGGTGATCTCAGAGTCTGATACCAAACAGAAAGAAGAGGTGGAAGAATATGCAGTGGCTTTAATGGAAAGGCAGTCTGGAGAAATTCAAATGAATATTGAACAAATAAGCAAAGACACTACAAGCGCTAGCAAGGTAAACAGTAGTTCTGAAGATCTTTCTTGAGGTTTTTGTATATTGTTTACTGCAGATCGATTCTTTTTAATCTTTTCCTTTTCTTTTCAGTCCTCGCTGGCTCGCCAAGAGTGCTTAGAACATGACCAACAGATTGTGGCCTTGCTTTCTATGGTGAGACACATTGAGGTCCGCCTAAAGCAGCAGCAGCAACAGTCCATTGGTCGAAGTCTCTCCACACTTGATGACATAATCAAACAGATAGAGGTAAAAGATTTGTATTACAGCAAATGTATGATATGTAGCAAATTTAACAGGTTCTTTAAGCTTACACATGCTGTTTTTTCATTTAATTCTCTTTTCAGATGTTTTTTTTGGAAATTAGTGACCTGGAACCAGAAGTGCACAAGGAGACTGAAGCAGCCACACAGCTGCTGGAGTCTTACCCTCAGGATGTTCCACCTCAGCTGCTTATAGCTCTGGAAAAAGATGGGCGAAGCTTAGCTCGGGCTTACAGTGCAGCCAGGGACCTTGCCCAGAATACTTTGCAGGGGTTACGAGAACAACGTGATGCACAAAGCGTAATAAAAATTCCTATGATATTTAGTTTAGAGAGTTTGTTTTTCATGACAGAAAAGTTTCTTTTAAATCTCTTTGTGTGACTTATATGTTTTTATAGGAAGCTGTAAGCAGTCAGCTGAAATCTTTACAAGAGCAAGTTGACAAACTTCTTAGCTGGCTTAAGGATACTGAGACGCAAATGCAGGAAGAAACAGAGGTAGATGGACAAACAGTGGCTGAGATCACTCGTAAGCAACAGTTGTGCGAGGTAAGACGTCAACTGTGATGATATCCTATTTAGCTTTTACAGGACACATATTTACATTTGTAGTTACAGTGATGGCATGTTTTTCACAGTCATTCTTTTTTTCCCCCTTACAGATGTTGCAGAACTCCCTCGCTGCCCGATCCAATGAAGTCAGCAATGTGGCGTTCAATATTCAAGTGTTTATCTCCGAGCATGCTCAGGACCTGTTGCCTGATCAGAGCAGGCATCTCCTTGGACAGCTGGAGCAGCTACAGAGGGTCTTTCACCAGGCTGTTGGTCTCAATCATGCCAGGGCAGAGGCACTATCAGCCCAGCAGGCGAGAGAGAATGAACGAATGAGGAAAGAAAAAGAAGAGAAAATGGAAAAAGACAAACAAACTACAAGGGATAGAGAGGTTTGCAAACAGATGAATAAATGCTTGTGCTGCCAAATACAAGAATATTCAATTTTGCTTTCAACAGACTCACAATCATTCAACTGAGATAAAGGAAAACTTCTAATGCATTAAGAAAAGAACATTTGTGGTAACAGTTAACCACACTTCTGATGTATGCATGAATACTTAGCACGAATGCTGCATTTAAAAAATGAAAATAATGTTCACATGCATGTAACAGTATGATCTACTTATTCGGTTAATTTTACAGCACTATAATAATGCTGATCTGTTGTTTCAGTAATGCTTCTGCAGGACTCAACAATAATGACTTTTGTCTGCTGGTCAAGTCAAGCCTTAGTTTAGATTTTAGTTGTCTTACACTAAAGTCTAATGCCTAAAACATTTATTTTTTAAATACATTTTTATATAATGTTTATTTATAAATTAATATAATTTATAATATATTATAATTAATACAATTTTACAGCTATAATGTATTGAAAATGTGCAGCTATGCTGTACAGACTGTACATATGTTTTATGTTATATTTTGGAGTGTATATAATTCTCAACTGATGCTTTCAACACTATCACAAGTCACAGTTTTGACAAACACTCTTGTATGTTATCCAGCTAGATAACATTACCTTAAATCAATGGAATTCCTTATTGTTGAGCTCTGTTCTACAGCCACCTGCATTTCAAACTTGAGTGTGCTAGCTGCGTTAATGAACATAACATGTATATTAACCTGTCTGCCTTGCTCTTACAGATTGCCACAGAAGACACATTTGGAAAGCACTAAAGATTTAAATGTAGCCTCACTTTATAGCTTGCTTGTTTTTTAACCTTTCTTTTTAGTAAAAGAAGAAAATATCTAGCTGAGTTCTATTATTTGTCCTAAGGTCTTTGTATGTTATGTTTCTGCTTCACTGGCCTGTTTTTTTTTTTTTTTTTTACACCTGCACAGCAGCGTTGTTTACTTTGTGTGAAACCTGGCAAGTGTGAGAGTTTGGTGGGGTAAAAAGAATAATATGATGAATACATAGAAGTTTAAGAGAATTATGATTATAATTGATCACATGCAAATCTTTATCACTGTTTTTACCTCCTTTCTTACCGTGGATGTAGGTTGTGCAGCAGCAGAAGTCAGAATGCGCTCAAAAACTGGAGAATCTCACTATGTGGTTGGCTGGTGCTGCCAGCCTCCTGGCCAGTCAGAGAGTTGGAACTGAGTCCGATGATGTGAACGAGTTACAGCAGAAGCAAAGAGAGCTTAAGGTGCGATAAAGAGACACATCGGACATTTGCTTAATGCAGCTTTATTACACAATGTCTTACATAAGACATTACTTTTAATGTTTGGTTAATTGTTTGTTTTTACCCCATAACTATAGGAGGTGGAGAAGGACCTTCAGACCAAAAGTGACTTGTTGACTGAGACTGTACGCTCAGTGGAGGAGTTCCTGTCCGATCGGGGTGATAGTTTGAGTCCTGAAGAGAGGGCCAAACTACAGGGGACTCTTTCACAAATGAAAGAGCAGCACAGCTCACTTACAAACTCAGTCCGCTCTTCACTAGCTAAAGTAGACACTGCCATTGTCACAACAGTGCAGCAGAACACACAAAAAGTAAGCAGTTCACATTTTGTTCTCTTTAATTTGTCAGCATTTGTTATTCATTGTTTTAATCATTATCGCATTTTCCTTCTGCCCAAGGCTAAAGCAGAAGAGCAGATGCAGGAGACACAGGAAAAAATAGACACACTTCTCAGAGAATTGTCATCACTGGATGACTCAAAGAGGAGGTCACTTGGCATCACTGTCACTGACACACCATCATCTGAACCACCAGAGAATGCTCTGAATTCTCAAAGTGACATGCTTCAGGTCAGATTCTTAAGTAGATGTTGATCATTATCAGTTTTACCAATATGGCAACTCAATTCAGTTCTGCCTTTTGACATTTTGCATTTTGTTGATTCCACCAGACTGAGCTGCAACAGTTACAAGCTCAACAGGCTCACCTTCAGCAGGTGGCCCAGTCTGTCCGCTCTCTCCTGGAACAACCTGACTCCAGTGTGCCACCAGAGGAGAAACAACGCTTACGGGCAAAACTAGACCAACTACAGAGTCAGCATCAGGAGCGCCTTCAGAACTGTCAGGACAGGCTCAGGCGGACAGATGCCCTCAGAGATGAGTTTGCCAAGTTTGTGCAGGAGAATGGGAACCTGGGGACATGGTTGGATCAGAGTGAACAAGAACTACGTACACTCGGGGAAGGGGAAACTGATGCAAAGGGTCTAAAAGACAGGATAGAGGAGCACAAAAAGGTATCAAAATATGGTGATGTCTAACATAATGCATTTACTTTGTGGAGAAAGTAAAATACTTAAAATGTGTTTCTCTGTATTATACAGCTTGCAGAAGATGTCATCTGTCACAAAGCTGATCTACGCTTTGTGACAATCTCTGGTCAGAAGGTTCTGGATTCTGTCCAGGGGGCCTTGGAGAAGGTGGGCAGTACGGATCCAGCTCTGGAGGAAACCAGACACCTAGTGAGTGGCAAGCTCCAAGATGCCACACAGCGCTACAGTTCATTACACAGCAAGGTGGGAACAAAACCGCTTTGTATTCTTTCAGTCAACAATGGGCTGAAGACATACTGACTCTTGTGTGTTCATTCTTTCAGTCCTCAGAACTTGGCACCCGTCTCTCAGGTCTCCTGGAGCGATTCCAACACTACCAAGATGAGGCTGGTTCTTTAGGCTCCTGGCTGAGCACTCAGGAGCAAAATCAGAGTGTATTTAAACCCAGCCGAGAGCAAACGGACACTCAGACATTGCAGCATACTCTCAGTACTGTACAGGTTGGATTATTAATGCTTTTCTGGCTAAAATATTTGAGGAAAGCTTAGAAACAACTTTACTGGATGGATAAACTAATGGAAATGATCACCTAAGCAAAATGTAGTTTCCATATTCTTAGGAATCATCATAATTAATCACCTTTTTCTTTCTTCTGTTGTCTTCTCTCAGCTGTTGCAGGATGAGTTGGCAGAGCGTTCGGTACAGCTTGAGAAAGTCAAGAGGGCAGGTAAAGAGCTGGTCAGCACTCAGGAGTCCCCAACTCTCAAAAATGCAGATATTAACAATCTTACAGGTAATTTCATTCTCAATATCAGCAGATAACTTAGTTGAAGTTTGTAGGTTCATTCCACCATGCAAGTATAGACATGCACTGTCGTTGAAAACTTTTTTAGATGTTTTTGAAAGAAGTCTCTTATGCTCACCAAGGCTGCATTTATTTGATCAAAAAATAGTTAAATAATATTAGTACAGTTCAGAATAACTTTTCTATTTTAATATGTTTTAAAAATGTTGAGATGGAAAAGTTGAATTTTCAGCAGCCATTACTCTAGTTTTCAGTGTCACATGATCCTTCAGAAATCATTGTAATATGCTGATTTTGGGTTCAAGAAACAATTTTATTGTTATTAGTGTTGAAAACAGCTGTGCTGCTTAATATTTTTTTTTAGAAACCGTGATACATTTTTTTTCCTTAGGAGTTCTTGATGAATAAAAAGTTTAAAAGAGCATCATTTATTTGAAATAGAAATATTTGACCCCAACATTTTGAACAACAGTTTGTCTTTTTGAGCATTCAACCCACATGGCAACATTGGCTCAACCAGTGGCATTTTTCACAACTATCTGTATCTAGAATATTTGTTGACTGGTCAATCAAGGCACTGTGATGTCAAGCATTTTATTTGGATTGATAGTGTCACTTATAGTCATTATCTCAAAATAACCTCTTAAAAGTAATACAAGATATGATCTGGAATTAATTTTATGCTAATTATATTTTTGATATTATCCCTATATTTTAAACTTCCTCTTGGTCATTTCAGATGCTCTGGAGAAGCGCTTTGAAACCCTGTCTAATTCAGTGTCAGTGAGAGCTGAACAGCTTCAAACCGCTGTTGCCCAATCAGTCAGCGTTCAGGAGGGACTTAAAGCACTGCTGGCATGGTTAGATGGACTACCGTTATCACCTGGTGCAGTCCAGCCCACTGCTCAAGCAGTTCAGGATGCCCTGACACAAAATCAGGTATTTTATTAAACGTACCATCACAATCATCAGTATCAGACATAATTAAAAACTTTCCTTAACCAGGAATTATGTTTTCTTCAAACATGGCACTTCCCCCTCAGAAAATACGTCAGGAACTGCTTTCAAGGCAGGGCAGCGTGGATGCAACCCTGGACTCTGTGTCCAAGCTTCTGAAGTCTGCAGATGCATCGACAGCGTCTGGCCTGCAGGGGACACTACAGGACTTGAGTCAGCGCTACACAGCGGCCCAGGCCAAACAGACTGAAAGAGAGACTGAGTTGCGGGGACTTTTGCCCAAGTTGGAGAGCTTTGAGCGCCAGAGTGCAGACCTCCGCAGCTTTACGCAGAGTCGTGAAAGGGCTCTCAGCCCAGTAGGCCAACCTGACTGCAGCGTGGATGACTACAAACAGACCATAGAGGTTAGAGAATTAGGTTTTTGACATCTTTGGCCACAGATTTACGTACTTTCTGAAAGATTACATGTTTATTGGCTGATGTCCGATCATTGTCATCATTTCTGTCTTTTCCATTAAAGGAGGTGAGATCAGAAATTACCCAAGAGTCAAGTCAATTAAAGTCATTTGTCGAGCTTGGTTCAGACCTAAGCAAGTCTGGGATCCTTGCCAATGCACAAAGCCTTCAGGACACAACCAAAGAGGTTTCTGAGGACTTTGCACGCTTGGAATCCAATGTCAATGAGAGGTCAGTGGAAAGAGTTGTGAAAACAATTTATTAAACCAGTGTTATTTTAGTATTGTTTTTTGTATGATTATAATTTTTATTAATATTTTGAATTAGCTTTTATTTTTATATTTTCAGCATTTTAATTTTTTGTTATTTTTTAGTAGTGTTATGTGCTTTTGTCATTTTAAATAATAATAATTAGGGAAAGGTTTTATTTTTATTTTTTCAGTTTAGTGAATATAATTCTTCAACATATTTTACATTTATTTCAATTAGTTGCCAAAGCAACATCTAATTTTTGTTTAGTTTATTATTTTTTTTAATAATTTTATTTTAACTTTATTATTCAGTTGACAAAATGTTTGAAATAGTTTTAGCTAGCAATAATAACCCTGTCTTCCGCATTTAACTTCTTTCTCCAGACTGGAAAAAGAATTATTGCTGTAATGAAATATTCAGGATATTGTAATATTGTCCCCCTTAATGTCTATGGCAGTTACAGTCATGAGTAGAATAGTTAGTCTGTTCTAAGCTATTCTGTGTGTCATAGTTTCATCTTGAAATGTGATGCCCTGCCAACTCTAATTGCTTTGACATTTGACATGTGACAAAAATAAAGACAGTATGGACAGGGTCAGAATACTCTGCGCCATAAAAAAAATAGCATCATGCTTACCCAGTTTGACACCACTGTATCCGGCGTTATGGAAACCATTTGGCCACATCCCTCCTTAAGATGCCAGACTGGGGCTCTTAAGCATTTCAGATGTCCTCAGAGACGGCTCATAAAACAGTCGGTCATGTGTTCAAGTCTAAATCCACTCCACATATCTCTAGGAATACTTGTGAGTGGGAAGGGGGATTATTGTAGTATAAACTGAATGTAAAGGGTAACATGTTGGGACATGGCTTCTGACCTAACTGCTGCTAACAATGGTAGAGAGGCATGCTGTCCACATTAAGAGTCTGGAGTGGAGTCTGGCTCTGCTTAGTATTGCACACATTGTCCTGATCTATCACCATGACCTAAAATAGTAGCATACAGTGTTGACATATTAATAGGAGGTCAAAGATGTCTGGTTGTGTCCTTTTACAAGAGATTTTTCTCTTCTGGTGGTTTAGATAGGTACTCTGAATTTTTACCTCATTAAAACATTTTAAACTAAGAAAGGAATAATTCATTTGAAAACTGAGTACAAAAGCTGTTTTATTTTACACAAAGTAAATTGCCTCATTGGAGCCAGCATTGTGTTACCATTAACAAAATTGAATCTTTTTTTGTTGATATTCATCTGACTTTTTCCTGTGTCCTTCACAGATTTGATTCCATCCAGAGCTGCGTCCAGCAACTGGCAGAGTTCCGCTCTCGCTCTTGCTCCCTCCTCAGGTGGCTGCAGACAGTACAAGAACAACTTCCTGCCAAAGAGCCCAACCTAAGCACAGAAAGCCTGCAGAGAAGAGCACAGCAGCTTAAAGTAGGACTGCAGTTCTCTCTATTTACAGTGTTCTGACATCAGTTTCTGTTTTTAGTGAGGTGAGCTGTAATTAACACGTCTCATGAATTTACTTGTAGGATCTACTCAAAGAATGGGAGACCCAAGGAAGCCAAGTTCAGGAGTTGAACAAGACCAGTTCACAACTGGAGAACTTGATTATTAACATCACATCTCCCAAGAACAAGACTGGTAGGTAAAACAACATCGTGGAGGTTCAGGGCCAGGGCTCCTTTTTTTCTGTAGCTAGTACTTCATGTTTCCACTATGAATATATTTGGACTCCAAATCACTACTTTTAGAGGTTAATTCACTCAAAAATGAAAACTGTCATCATTTACTCATCTTCATGTCATTCAAAACTAGTAAGACTTTCCCTACTAAGAGTGCCCTACTAGAATATATATGAAGCATGAGGAAAAAAGCTTGATTTGTGTTCCTGATTAAAACAGTTTTATGGTGCTTTTGCACCCTTTTCCAATTAATTTTGTTACTGCATTGAAAAGAGCAACTGGTACATTATTAAAAATTTCTCCTTTTGTACTTCCAAAGTCATACTGGTTTGGAATGACATGAGGGAGAGTTTTTGAGTGAACTGTCCCTTTAAGCATCTGCCACCTTCCAAACTACTAATTTTCAGCATATTATGTTTGTATATGTGTCTCTGTGTCTAAATCCTCTGTGTTGAGTATGTCTAGCTGCTTGTGTATGTGTGTGCTGCGCCAGCATGCCTGTGAATTATTGTGGCGTTGTCTGAGCGCGTGTCTGTGTGCCTTTCTCCCAGGTGTTTCCCAGCTCAATGGTGCTTCCAGCCCCAACAGTGTTAATGGCATTCACACCTGTAAAGGTGAGCTTCCTCCACACCTTTAGCCAGTGAGCTGTGCAGCATCCACGTCACTGGAGGCTTTTCTCTATTAGACATTTCCATTTGTTTTCCCCTCTCATTTCTCTTCCTCTTCACCCTTTTACTCACTTTCCCTATTTTTCTTTGCATTGCTTCTTGTCCTGTTCTGTTAGTTTGCTCTCAGAGTAAGTGCAGATTAGTGTCATCTGTCTTTGTGCATATGACCAATGTGTCCAATCATTTAGGGTTTCTTTCACACTGACAGTGCACATAAAGCTGAGGACTGTTGACACTCTGTTCACATTTTGCAAGTAATCAGTTTGTCAGGTCATTGTTGTCAATATCCAATGTATTGCCAACAGCTTACTAATTTGTTCCCTCTTTTTAGGAAAACTGTGGCCACATTGTACTAATTTGTTTTCTTATTTTTATTAACTAAATTAAATAAATCAAAACAAGGAAACAAATTAGTACAATGTGGCAATGATTTACCTAAAACAAAGGAACTAATTAATCAAACATGTCCTTGATTTAAATAAAACAAGGGCATGAATTAATAAAACATGTCCACACGACAAGTCGTGGAGCATATTCTTAATTTGTGGCCACAATAAATATATTATGTTCTGCATATTCAATTCAATTCAATTCAATTCAAGTTTATTTGTACAGTGCTTTTCACGATACAAATCGTTGCAATGCAACTTTACAGCAAATTAAGTTTCTACAATATTTAGTGGTAGCTTATCAGTGGTGACTGTCAGTCAATGTACAATGTACAGAAATGTACGGAAAAATCAATTAAAGACGTAATCAAACAGACGATGAACACTATTAACAGCAATTATTATATGATGCAATCAAACTTATAGCAAAATGATATCATGTGCAGAGCTCCATATTTTGTTCTTCACAGCTGAATGGATTTTACTACAGTCAAAATCTAACCCTCAGCTTATATATCATTGCTTGAAAAATAGCACAAACATGATGCAGTTTTATAATTATGTGGCCTTGTCATCGGGCTGCTGTGACTGTACTTACCTCAACATTTCTTCACTCTTACCCTCAGACTTGACTGAGATCCAGGTGGCAGTGGCAGATGTGAACTGCAAGTATGAGCAGCTGGGCAGTGACATGAGGGAAAGGAAGGGTAGGCAAGAGGCCTCTCTTGACCTGCGGCAGAAGGCCAGGCAGGGCTCTGAGGCACTCATCCAGTGGCTGGGCCCCCGTGAAGAGAGCCTGGCACAAGGGCAGACCGCCTCACCTTCTCGGCCAGAGGCGGTGCGTGCTCAAGCCCAAGAAACCAAGGTAACATTTTGAGAGAATTGAATACATCTGTAACAGGGGTATCAAACTACAGGCCCCCACAGAATATATATATGAAATAGTTTATCTGTAATCAGGCAATTCATTTTCTGTAACTTAGTTTTGTCTTTAATGTTATCCCATTGTTCTCTAAAGCAGTGTTTCCCAACCTGGGGTGCCGTCTGTCGAGAGCAGGGGTGCCGTGTAAAAAATCATTTTTTAATATTTTTAAATAGCTAAAATGTTCAAAAAAGCAGCTATTATATAATATCCATTTCTGATGTCGCCAATAATTAGAGATGCACTGAAATTCCGGCTGCCGGAAATTAGTTCACCGCTCAGGATTCCCTTTCACGTGGTGTGACGCTCTGCGTATTATCTCGCTCTATGCGTGTGTGTGTGCTCCGCTCAGTCGCTCACGGCCCATGTGAGTGCTCCACTCGTATACCGTTCATGCTCATCGGAGAACAGCAAAGTCCACTCAAAAAATGAGCCGACAGGAAACATCGATGTAGTACAGTATTGTTTCTGTCTGCAATAGCCCTACTGTGCTGTAACAAGGTGTGGTAAATGGGCAACTCTGGTAACGCTGCCCTCTCATTAATTGATCTGCTAACCGTTATGCTCACGTGTCCTCTGATAATAATAGCTTTCTAGGATCCTACTGATTGCCACCATTTATGGACAACATTTTTTTATAATACTGAAAACATCTGTATGACAGTATATTCTGCAGTTCTTCCCTGCTGTACCGAATATCTATACTTTTCAAAGTATCATATCGAAGTTAGAAATTCAAATATTGTGACAAAATTAATTTTGTAGGGTGCCACAAATTTGTTAAAATTTCCAAAGGGTGCCGCGACTAAAGAAATGTTGGGAAACACTGCTCTAAAGGATTATTAAAGGGGTCATGAACTGCCTCTGTTTTTTATTTTGTACTTTTCTCTGAGGTCCACTTATAATGTTATCAAGATTTTTACATAAAAAACATCATAATTTTGTCCCCCTAGGGGAATAATAGGCTATTTTCTGTCCTGTTTTTGCCTCTGGTAAACACTAGGCTACATGCATGAATAGGTGGGTGGGGCTAAACAGGCAGTGATGTCGATCTTCTTCTGCGAAGGCAGTGCTTATCTACAGTATTATATCATAGAGTAGAACATTCCAAAAGCTGTCGATTTGGCAGACTGCCTTCAGTATAAGCTGTTTTTAGGCTTACGACAAAGTTTTGAGTTCTGAAACTTACAGGATGTTTTTATAGTACAGTACAATGACCTCTTATATGTAAAAAGATCAAGGGAATTTTTATTTCTCAGTTCATGACCCCTTAAAACAGTAGCCCTAGCCATCATTCCATTACATTGTGACAGACATCTGACAGACAGGCACCTGTGTCCAGGTTTTACTTACTGAGCTTGCCGACCATTCTGGGAAAGTGGAGGATCTAAAAAACATTCTCAATCAGCTAATAACAGATCATCCTGATTCTCCTGAAGCTGAGACTTGGAAACGTCAGCTTGAAGACATAGGTCAGTGATGTGTTTTAAGTTAATTTTCATTTAATGAACTTGTCCCTGTACCAATAACTAACTATAACAACAGAATAGTACATTGATATTAATTTGCTGGTCACAAGGCGAGAGTTGGGTGCAGGAAATGGAAGGCTGAAAATAATGTATGCTCCAAGAAAAGCTCTGACCTTCAAATCAAATATCCTGAACTTTTATTCTGGTGTTCCATGTGTTGTCAAAGTGCAGCCTGTGCATGCATTTTTTTAATCTATTGTGTTTTAGTATATTTATTAATACATTCAGATTCAGGATATTGCTCTCTCTCCTAGACTCACGATGGACGAAAGCCAATCAGACTGCAGCACAGAGGCAGACTGAATTGGAAGCGTGTGCTGATAGGCTGGGCAGTTTTGCTGCAGCAGCCAGTCAGCTAGGACCATGGCTACGAGAGAAAGAGCTGATGATGAGCGTATTAGGTCCACTGAGTATCGACCCCAACATGCTCAACACACAGAAACAGCAAGTGCAGGTAAACGAATCTTCTTGCTTTTTCTACAAATTAAAAAAAGTCCATTAAAAAAATTGTAATTGACATCATGCCTCAGATTTTCATTAAAAACTAATCAAATGTCAAATTGAAAAATCAAATTGTTCTCAAAACGTAGCTTCACCAAAATCACTTTAAATTTCTTTCTTTATCCCGTCAGTTCATGCTACGTGAGTTTGAGACACGGCAACCCCAGTTTGACCAACTGTCTCGAGCGGCAGAGGGAATCCTCTCCCCGTCTGGAGATGAGGGTTCTAGAGATGGACAGGACCTAGAGGAGGTGAGGCAGGAGCTGGCAGACGTTTCACAGCAGTGGGAAGACCTCACCTCTCGTCTCACCGGCCGCTCGCAGCAGATCGACCAGGCGCAGGGAACCAGTGAGCGCTACCTGGCCCTGCTCAGAGAGCTGTCTCAGAGCGTGGCCGATCTAAGCGAGAGGCTGGATGCGCAGGCCTCTCTAAGCGCTCAGCCTGAAGCCCTGCGCTGTAGGCTTCAGGAAACTGGGGAGATCCGTGCTGAGCTGGAACAGAGACGAGGTCAACTGGCCCAGGCTGAGCAGCTGTGTGCGGAGCTCAGCACAATTGTGGCCGAACCGTATCTCAGAGATGAGTTACACAAGAGACTGGAGAGTGTGAGCGGCCCCCTCAAAAACCTAGAAGAACGGGCTGGTGAGTAACAGTTTGCCGTTTGGAAATGAAGAAGTTAAGACATAAATGTACAGTAAAATACCATTTTTGTCACTTGACTTATTTTTTTATGCAGATGCACTCTCCAAAAAATTGATTAATTCTTTCCAAATATAGCTACTCAAGTCAAAACTCCTGTGTCTTTTTATTTCGCAGTGTATATCACAGAAAAACAAAATATGGCAAAGTCAGTTTTTACCCAATATTGTTCGCCTACTGTATGCATGTACATAATAGTAACCGCCACCCTTACTGCTGTCTTTCAGCTGATAGCTTGTCCCAGCTGCAGGCCACCCTGTCCAGCACTCAACAGTTCCAGCAGATGTTTGACGAGCTTCGTGGCTGGTTGGACGGGCAGGCTGGGAATCACACAGCTGGGGTTTCTGAAGCCCTTCCTTGCCAACCTGATGCTCTAAAGACCCTTCTGGCCCAACAAGAGGATCTCCAGCGAGCCATAGCACAACAACGTGGGTCCTATGAGCTCATCCAGGCCGAGGGGGCATCTCTACTGGCATCCCTCCCCGCTGGAGATGAGCGATTAGCCCTACAGACTCGACTAAACATCTTACGGCAAGACTGGGAGGGCATGAACCAACAAACCTCTAATAAACACAGTCGAATAAAAGAGATGCTGTCCCGTGCTGAGCTGTACCAACAACATCACAATGAGCTTGTACCTTGGGTTGCAGAATGTGAGGTAAGGGAGGCGGAGATCCACCCATCACTGGATCCCGCCACCTTAGACGAGGCTTTGCAAAAGGCTAGACAGTTAAGTCTGGACTTGGATCGTCGTCGCCCTCTCTTAGATTCTCTGAACACGGCAGCAGATCAGCTGCTGGAACAGAGCTGCGCTGGTGAAGAGGAAGTGAGGGATGAAAAAGCCCAGCTTAATCGCAGGATAGACGGTCTCTCTGAGCGACTACAGGGCCGCACGGCTCAGCTAGAAGAGTTGGGAAGCAGACTGAAGGAGTTTGAAGATGGGAGACTGGCTGTGGAGAGAAGACTCGAGGCAGCCAAGCATCAGATCGAGGTTCAGGAGGCGCTTGGGCCGCAAGCTTGTAGCAACAAAAGCCTGGAGCGTCTGCGTAGCCAACAGGAACTGTTAAACTCTGTACAGCCACAGGTGGTGTACCTACGAAATCTGGCTCAGGGGCTGCTCCAGGATGCGCCCGAGATCTCCAGGGCCAGTGTAGATGGCGGCCAGAGGCTGCTGCAGCAAGCTCGTGATACGGAAAAAGAGTTTGAAGAAGTTACTGAGAAGGTGAGAGAATCTGCACATGATCAGGAGCCTCTGGAATGTGCCAGGACTGAGGCGGTAGTTGGGATGTTATATATAACCTGATTTGTAGTTTATGTCTGCGCTCATGTCGTGTTTGCTGAAATAAGACACAGTCTTTTTCTGGCTGTTGGTCTAGATTTGTCTTGTTCATTTTTAATAGCTTGTATTCATGATTTGTAGTCAAACATTTTAAGTATTTAAGATTAAATTATAAAGTTTGCACAGTACTGCATTTCTATGCCGTGCATTTTGAACTTTTTATATACTTATGTTAAGTGTACAGTATTTCTATAAATGTGTTTAGCAGACTTTCAAAAATATGCTGTGGTCAAGCTCAGACACCTAACTTTTTTATTGTAATTTTTTACAAAAGTATTTACATAACAGCAAAAAAATTATTCGGATAAAACCTCTAAGTATAGAAATAACTTAATAATAAAGTTATCTGTCGCTTATTGAGGGATTGCAAGTCAGCCACATCAACTAGAAATTAATTTTGTTTCACTTATTCATCTTTTAAAACTTACTTGTTTTCCTATCGATTTCTGCAATGTTATAAAACAGGATTATTAATTTTTAAACTAAAAAAACAAATAACACCAAAAACACCAGAAAATGTATCAAATCCATTACTAAAACTTTGTTAGTACAGTTTTTCATGAAAATAATGTCACTTCCTGAAGGATGTTGTAATTGAGGAACTGCATTTAGTTAGTTTAGGGGACATTACAGTCTGACAGGATGGAAAGTGAAATTTCAGAAATGGAAATAACCTATATTTTTATTTTAAACTCTCTTCACAAGAACATATGTTAGAAACATCTAAGGAATGGTTGAGCATTTCTTAGTAAACTGACAGTGCTTTATGTTAAAAGCACTCAGGGATGCGACCAAAATGACAATATGTGCTTAAACCAAAATTTCATATTATGAAATATTATTACTTATTATATTGATATGTTTATCCAGTATATTTAGAAACATTTGATTGGTCTGCTGCATAGGAATGACCCACAATTTCAGCTTCATTTACCTGCATGTGTCCCTTCTCTTTCCCCCACAGACTGAGCAATGCTGCTCATCCTTGGAGTCCCGGTTGCAAGGTGTGGGAGAGGTCCAGTCACATGTTCGAGATGTTTTCTCCCGCCTGGCTGATTTGGACGATGAGTTGGACAGCCTTAGCCCTGTGGGGCGGGATGCTGACTCCTTGGCCTCACAGGCTGATGCTGTCAGGGGCTTCCTGAGTCGACTCGATGCCCTCCGTGCCGAGCTGGAGAGTCATGGTGGAGAATGCACGACTATGCTCCGTAGAGAGGGGAGCTCACCTGATCTTCTGGCCCTCAGGAGAGAGACCGAAGCCCTGAGCAGACAGGCAGGCAAGCTGGCAGAGCGGGGCCAGAACCGTCTGGCACTCATAGAAGCAGCAGAAGAGCGTGTGAAGGAGTTCTACGGCCGTCTAGCTGACCTACAAGGGTTGTTGGGACGAGCAGAGGAGGTGCTGAACACACAGGCTGTCGTGGGGACAGAAGTGGAGGTCATCAAACAGCAGCTTCAGGAATTCAAGGTAGGAAAAGATTCAGCAAACTGTGTGTACTGTATTCATCATTTGCAATATCAGATTACATTCTGTGCAAATCACTGTTTGCTAACAGTGTTTGTGTGCCACAGGCGATTCTAAAGTTTCAGTCTTCGAGGGGCTTAGCCCTCCTACCTAAACATGAGCTCATGTGGCACGATGATTATATCTTATTTTTTCGATATGTAAACAAGGTATAGCAAAGCTTATGTTGTGCACCATGTGGTTTACCCAAGTATGACGTGTTCCTGAATCAACCACCCTACCCCTGAATTTAGTGGACAATGATTTGCAGATGATGCAGGATGATGTTCCAGAACCAGTAAGGAATGTTGATTCAGAAACATGTACTTATTGTGTAAATCACATCAAGCCAGGTTTGCAGGATGTGGGGAAATAAATCGAATTGCACTTTTTTTTCTGATAAAAAAAAAGAAAAGTGAAATGGGATTTTTTTTTTTAAAGTGCTTGTTTGTTTGTGGAAATCTACGTCACCTCCAAGTTTTTTTTAAATGGTTAGCTGAAATGGTTTCGGCCCTCAAGCTTGAAAGGATACGTTTCTCTAGAGCGGGCAGATTAAAGATGTTTGACAAAATCTGGTCATATTTCAGGTCTATATTTTAAGGATGTCCTTGCTATGTTGTTAATGTGCTATGTGTCATTCGATCTTGTTTTTCCTCTGTTTTTTGCTTTTTCTTTTCCATTTTTCATTTCCTTGGTCTGGCTGAGGTTCTTCTGATGGTGATGTGTGATAAGAGTACTTTCATAAATATTTGGTGCATGTTTGGGTTGGGGGCAGGGGAGAAGTGTGGCATGGTTTTTTCATTCATTTTGGTTATATTGTATTAATATACATATATAGTATGTTATGGAGTGTTATGTTTTTTAAAAAGAAAAAAGTTTTACAAATAAAGTACTTAAAAAAAAAAAGTGCTTGTTTGTGGAGCTGCACAATTTGATTTATACTGTATATCAATATTACTATAAAATAATAATAATTATTATATTATTATTGTTATTATTATTATAGTATTTTACAGTACAACTAAAAAATTACAATGCTAATATATATGGCTGTACATGCAGAGATGGAATTTATGTGGTGCACTCTTTGCTGCAAACCCAGCCACTATTAGACACTGAAAACACCAGATTTTGAGCTGCTTATATAAAGGAAAGCTGCTTGCCGTATAAAGGAACACAGTGCTGTGCTTCACTCTGAAACGCATTCTGCATATTTACATTTACTTTGATAATCACACTAAGGCATAGCATGATTTTAGTTGATTTCAATTAATTGTGCAGTTCTTTTAGGCTAATGTTTGTTTAGAGAGGTTTGCAAGAACATTTTCACACAACATGTCACTTCATTATACACGCTCTCTGAAGTCTTGCCTCTCGAGTATGCTTGTTTAAAAAAAAATGCAAGAAAATGTGTTGAGATCTGCGTGGTACTTTTAATTTCTGTGTTACTGCAGGGTGAAAGCTCTCCCTCTTAATAAATCCTTTTTTACCGACATGTTCTTGCTGTTTTCTTCTCATCACGTACTCGGTGATGGTGGCAAGAGAATAAGGAGAGACATGTCAGCTCTTAGCCCTCAGAGTGGGCTGCTCGAGTTCACCTTTCCTCCCCTGACCGTCTGATGAAATGTCTGTATCTCTCTTACTCATGCCTCTTGAGGGTGGTGAAAGAAAGGAGAGTGTGAGAGTGAAGAGGTGTAGGTGGAAGTGGGAAGGAGTAAAGCTGAGGAAATGACGGATGTGCTGGGCGTCAGAAACCTCCAGGAGCAGGAGAGTGAATCAGTGCTGTAGAAAATATGCCTTGCTGAGACTGAATCATTCCTTCCTCCGCCATGTTTGATTGCTCAGCAACAACAATATGACTAGTTTAAAAGACTTTGAGTGGTATTGAGGTAGTGCAGTGAACTTTAACTGTAGTTGTTTTAAAGGTTTAAAGATTTTAAATAGCAATAAACATTTAGTACTTTCTGAAGTTCTTGGAATTTGGAAGGGTGAAATTTGTCACTCTGATTTGCGTTCTTCAGAGATGTTTTAATTTCCTGCAAGGTAAACCTTTAATTGCAGGTTTTTTTTCATAGTATTGCATTCCATTGTTGAGTGCCGACATGGAGAGCTCATTGTGATGGACACTGAGCTAAATCTGATCGTAGAGCTAATCTGTGTCAGTCCACAGTGTCAATATGGGAGCGTAAAAAGGGAAGGGGTCAGGTGCAAGAACCCACTGTACTGTAGTCCACCCACTTCCAGCTCTACCCTATTTTATATATATGTTCTGTATATTAGAATGATTTCTGAAAGGTCATGTGACACTGAAGACTGGAGTAATGACATTTACATTTTAATACATTTTAAAATATATTCCAATAGAAAAGGAGTTTTAACAACATTTCAAATTATTAATGCTTTGACTTTTTGATCTAATAAATGCAGCTTTGTTGAACATAAGAAACGTCTTTCAAAAACATTAAAAAAAATCTTACCAACCCCAAACTTTTGAACTGAAGCGTAGTTAGTGATTTGGAAATTAAATGAAAAAATCAACTAGTAAGGCAATCAGTTTTAATCAGCCAAGCAGGCAGGGTTATTGATCAGTGCTCAAATATGAATTATGCATACCCAAATATGGATTATGGACAATACATTGGTCTGTCATTAGTTAAATGTTTTATTTTTAATGAAATGTCCTTGATTTGTCTTTATTATGAATTGCTTTGTAGAAACTTGGATCACTGAGGAAGTCTTGAGAAATTCTTCTGTCTTTTCCTCACACTTTTTCCATTTTTGAGTATTTCTGCTTTTCTACTCCTCGTCTACCCACTTGCATGTCTCATACCTTCACTCCTACCTCATCTCATCATAGGCATAGCGGTCTAATAAAGCTCTCTATCAAATCTTTAACGATATGGTGAACTGAATGCACACCAACACTCACCATCCCCTTTTCTGCTTTTCATTCTGATATAAATAAAAGCAGGTTTTATAGATGTGTTTCAGAGCGCAGGCAGACAGCGAGAGGGCCAGAAAAGGGAATGAATAGAGAACGGAAGAAGACGTAGCTGAATAAGAAGTGGGTGTTGTCAGTATGGTCTGCAATGAAGCTCATGTGGATGTCTAATCAATACAGGGGTGAAGTAGGGTTAAAGAATTAAGTCAAATCCAGAACAAAGTTGTGAATATAAAATATAAAGTACAGCGGGCTTCAAAACTCATGTTTGTTGTGTCTTTCTAAATGCTCAGTCTGACTCAGTCAATCAGCAATTGGTATTATAAGAAACAAAAGGCAAAAATTACTGCTTCTTAACATTGTCTTGTGGCCTTGAAGACCTTAAAATAAAGACAACCATGTATCTCTAACTCACAAAGACAATACAAGTTGCAATGTGGGCTACAACACTAAAAGCAAAACAATAAAATTATTTTTATAACTTGTATTATTTTTATACAAATAAATATAAATGTAATTTAAAAGTTAACTATTTATTTTAAAATGTATATCAATTTTATTTATTTTTTTCATTAAAGCAAAATACTGAGACATTCAGGAGAATGTTAATTTTTCACGTAAACTATGCTTATATTAATGCTATGCTGAATGAATATCATTTGTAACAGGAAAAAATATTACATTTGAAAAAGTGGACTTTTGAACCCCACTGTATGTATTTGCAGTCTATAGGTTATTTTTAGGAAGCTACAGAATGGGATCTCATTCATTACAAAGGGGAAGAAGAGAAAGACAGATAAAATGTGTTCAGAAAGACATCTTTGGTATTCATCCAACTTGGCTGCCAGCGTTCCTCAATTTTCCATCTTCTCTGCCCCATTTCTCTCCTTTCGTCTACCACTTTGTAATGAAACATTGTAAGATAAATTTGAGTGCAGCCCGTTCGTCTGCCACAAAATAGTCTGCTCTCATTTTCGCCTCGCTCCACGCAAACCAGACTCCATTTCAAAGACACCAAATCCAAAATGATGTCATTGCTCAAAGGGGCGGAGATGGGAGGGTGATCCTGTGTGTGTGTGTGTCTGAGAGGTTTTTTTGTTGTGTAAGCTCCGTCGGGGCAGCTGCGGGGGGCATGGGGTATTAAGAGAAGGTGTCAGATTAGTCAGTATCATTGTTTAGCTTCTCAACAATGAGCGTATTGAGATGTCGTGGAAATGGGCTGGAGAGAAACAGGGAAACTTGTCGCACTTGTGACTTTATTGTGAAATGTCTTGCCAGTGTCGTCTGGTGCTTCCTGTCTGGATATGTTCTCATATTTAGCAGCAGGTCGGCGTGTGCTATAGGGTGATATGTAGACACAGAAGGTGTGTTTGTATGTTGTGGGAGTGTGCCCGCAGGTCCTTGTGTGAGAATGTTTCTAATTCCAGTCCGTGTGGAGCGTCCGGCATCCCAGCTGTCTCCCCACCCTGGACCCTGCAAACACACTGACACTCGTTCACATAAGCAGGGTGTGGTTGCCCCCTCTCCCTAAATTCCTGTCCCTCATGTACCCTTGTGCGCTCCCATGTCACCCGGTCCTAGAGCAGCTGAAGCTTGAGCTAGCGGGGCGGGATGAAGTGCTAGACTGGAGTAAAACGAGGGCCCCCTGTCCAACTGGGAATTCCTTCACAGGGCTGTTGGGATGAGGGAATGGCTTCTAAATCACATCAGGTTGTCCACACTGTCCTCACCATCGCCGCTTATATCTTCACTCCCTTTACTCTTTCCATCCCTCCCTCAGTCCTGCCGGTTTGTCTATTTTTATCAACCTCTTTCTACGTAGTTTGTGATCACAGCTTTTCCTCCACAATAACAACTGCGCAGACTATGTCATGACCTGCCCTACCCCCACCCAAACCTTAGGGGTTTCCCTCTAACATCATCAATCTTGTGGCCTCACAGTCACATGAAGCAGATTAGCACTGATTATTTTTCATGAAGAATTAACTTATCACTCTCGCAATAAGGTAATGCAAAGATCTTG